TAACTTGGATGTTGGTAAATCAGGGAGTAAGTGTATTTATTTATTTATTTAAAGCATTTCTATGCCACCCCCATAGCAACAAAGCCTCGGGGCAGCTCACAACAAAAGCATATAAAATTATACAATAAAAATATTAAAACTCGGTGCATCTCAGCTTAAAATTATTATTTTTTTGTTAAAAAACCTTCGTAATAACTTAACAGTTAAAATAAGTTTTAAATAAAAAGGTCTTAGCCTGGTGCCGAAAAACAAATAACGACGGCACCAGGCGGACCTCTCTGGGGAGCACATTCCATAGGTGGGGCACCACCACAGAGAAAGCCCTCCTCCAGGTACTCACCGTCCTAATATCATTCACAGAGGGTTCCCGGAGAAGGGCATCTGTTGCTGAACTCAAGGGGAGGGAGGGCATATATGGACGCAAGCGTTCCTTTAGATACCCAGGGCCCAAGCCGTTGAGGGCTTTATAGGTCATAACCAACAACTTGAACTGGGCCTGGACTTCAATCGGGAGCCAGTGGAGCTGATGGAGAACTGGGGTTATATGAGAACAACTCCCAGTCCCCGTCAGCAGCCTGGCAGAAATATTCTGTACCAATTGAAGTATCCTGACCATCTTCAAGGGTAGCCCCATGTAGAGCGCATTGCAGAAATCTAATCGGGAAGTTACCAACGCGTGTCACTGTCGCCAGGCAATTGTTCTCCAGGAAGGGATGCAGCTGATGGATTAGCCGAAGCTGAAGGAAAGCACTCCTCGCTACCACCGTCACCTGGGCTTCTAAAGACAGCTCAGGGTCGAGGAGCACTCCTAAGCTGCGAACCCTGTCCACAGAAGGAGTGCAACCCCATTTAGGACAAGGCCCAAGTCCCTCATCCTGAGACCACCCACCAACAGGACCTCCATCTTGTCTGGATTGAGCTTCAGTTTATTGGCCCTCATCCAGCCTATTATCTTGGCCAGGCACCAGTTCAGCACAGCCACTGCCTCACCTGGATTGGTGGAAAATAAGAGGTAGAGCTGGGTATCATCAGCTTACTGATGATTCCGCAGCCCGCATCTCCTGATGACCTCTCCCAATGGTTTCATGTAGATGTTGAATAGCAAGGCGGACAAAATGGACCCCTGCGGAACTCTATGGCATAACTGCCAGGGTGCAGAGCCATAGTCCCCCAGCACCACCTTCTGAAATTGGCCGTTGAGATAGGAGCGGAACCACCGCAACGCAGTGCCTCCAACTCCCAATCCCGCCAGCCTATTCAGAAGGATACCATGGTCGATGGTATCAAATGCAGCTGAGAGGTCCAGGAGAACTAACAGGGATGCACTCCCCATCTCTCTCCCTGCACAGGTCATCGTACAGGGCGACCAAGGCAGATTCAGTACCGTACCCGGGTCTGAAGCCAGACTGAAATGGGTCCAGATAATCAGTTTCATCCAAGAATGCTTGGAGTTTTCCCACCACCACCCACTCTAGTACCTTGCCCAGGAACGGGATGTTGGCCACTGGTCTATAATTGGCAGCCACCTCTGGTTCCAGGGCTGCCTTCTTTAGGACAGGTCGGACTACCACCTCTTTTAAAGAGGACGGTACCCGACCGTCTCTTAAAGAGGCATTGACCACCTCCAGGATCCAGGTGCCAATCCCATCCTTGGCTTTCTTAAGTAGCCAGGATGGGCATGGGTCTAGTAAGCAGGTGGTAGGGCGTACTTCTCCAAGCACCTTGTCCACATCATCAGGCCACAACAACTGAAATTAATCCATTAATTGTGGACTTGACGACGTCGTTGGCATCTCTTCAGTAGAATCTGGTTCAATAATAGAGTCAAGCTTGTGACGAATCTGAGCGATTTTCTCCCTGAAATGCCTGGCAAAGTCATCACAGCAGGCCTTTGAGGGTGGTATGAGATCTTTCTTTGGGCCTGGATGTATCAGCCCTTGCACCACCCAAAAGAGCTCCGCCGGCCGGCATTGTGAGGAGGCAATGCAAGTGGAGAAGAATTTCATGTTTCCCGTACTCACTGACACAGCATAGGCCTGATAATGGGCTCTTAAGTGTGTTTGGTCAGATTCACCCCGTGATCTCCTCCACCTATGCTCTAGACATCTCCCAACCTGCTTCATCGCCCATAATTCAGGTGTATACCAGGGAGATGAATAGGCTCTGTCAGGTGGGAGAGGATGCTTGGGAGTGATTGTGTCAATAGCCCTGGTCATCTCCCCATTCCACAGTTCAACCAGGGCATCGACAGGATCACCAGCCTTGTCAACTGGAAAATCCCCCAGAGCTTTCAGGAATCCATCAGGATCCATCCGGCTCTGGGGGTGGACCAATACAATCTGGTCTGCACCCTTACAAAGGGAAAGGCCGCTCTCGAGCTCAAACCTTATGAGGAAGTGATCTGACCATGACAAGGGCATCAAACTTAAATTCCTCACCCTCAGATCACCCTCTTCCTTCCCCGTCGAGAAAACCAGGTCCAGAGTGTTTCCACGTTCATAGGTCAGGCCACTGATGTGTTGAGACAGCCCCATGGCCACCATGGAGGCCATGAAGTCCTGAGCCACCCCGGTTAAAACCGTCTCAGCATGGAGATTGAAGTCCCCCAGGACCAACATCCTGGGAGTCCTCAACACCAGGTCCAAAACTATCTCCGTCAGCTCAGGCAGGGAGTCTGTTGGGCAGAAGGGTGCATGGTACACCAGCAGAATCCCCAGTCTGTCTCGGTTACCCAACACCAAGTGGAGGCACTCCAGCCCCGGCCTTGAGAGGACAGGAAGCCCCACAAGGGAGATAGAAGCTCAATAAACCAGAGCGACCCCCCCTCCCCTCCCCTCCAGGCATGGTCGGTGCTGGACCAGGTACCCAGGCGGGCACAGTTGTGAGAGGGCGACATCCCCCCTCACCCGCCCAGGTCTCTGTGATACAAGCCAGGTCGGCCCTCTCATCCATGCTCAAATCATGGATGAGTGTTGCCTTATTTTGGACCGACCTGGCATTAAGCAACAGCACCGACAGGCCTGGGGGGCAGCTGACAAGTCTACCTGGAACCCGCCGGTTGGGGGAATAACCAGAAAGAAGGACAGGTGTTAACCATCTGTCCCTCCTTCTTCTATGCAGACCTGTTAGATCCCCAAAGCCATAACGTCCATTGCATCACTATTCCAATGGTGGCACCCACGCGCTCCCCAGGCAACATCATAGTAAAGCACGAGATGCACCAATTAAAAGCAACCTAAAACCGACAGTTAAAATTACTAAAAACCTCCTCCTTAAAACCACCGGTAGGCCACAGATGAACAAAACCAAGACCAACCACCAAAGCTCCCGGCCAGCCCAGCCCCTCGCCCGGCCCTCAAATGGCGGTGTCACCACACTTAGGCCGTCGCCCTTCGGCTGCTGGCCCCCAGACGCCGCCGGCGCTTTGTAGGCCGCAGGGCCCCTCCCCGTGCCCCACCCCTCCCCGTCTCTCACACACGCCCGGGGAAGTGGGCCGGAGCAGGGGTCTGGGCCAGTGGTCCTGGCCTCGGTGCGGCAGTGGCAGCAGCAGGTGGCAGCAGCAGACTCCAGGCGGTGTGGATGGAGGTGGGCCCATCCGGTGTGCTGATTCGCTCCTGGGTGCCAATCCCGGAAGCCGACGGCGCTTTGTAGGCCACAGGGCCGCTCCCCATGCCCCACCCCACCCCGGCACGTCTCTCACACATGTCCGGGGAAGCGGGCCGGAGCAGGGGCCTTGGCCGGTGGTCCTGGCCTCAGTGCGGCAGTGGCAGGTGGCAGCGGAGGACTCAGGGCGGCGCAGATGGAGGTAATACACCTGTGTTGTCTTAATCCCTACTTTCTTACCCCCATGTGCATCTAGCATACTTTGGACAAGATCGCCCACCGATTCTCCCACCCTCCTGAACCTTATTTAACTCCATCTTTGTAGACACTCTGGGTGCTGCCTACCTGCCGCATGTGATTCCATTATGTCTGAATAAGCTGTACATCTTCTTCTGATTGTACACCTTGATGGGCTATCTATTTTTCCTGCCTCTCATGTCACTTGCTATAAATTGTGGATAACACAGCACTGTTGCACCAACCACTGTAACTTACTGCCTTGAAGAGAACTGAAGGGGTCCTTCAAGCTCCTCAGCTTCTATTTGTGGGATGCTTTGGTGAGCTGGTATGTGTGTCTTGTGCAGAACCTCTGGGAACAAGTCTGGCCACCTTTCCACTTTCCATTTCTTTCCTAACTGCTTTGATACTCAAGATCTTCTGCAAGCACAAGGACACTCCCATTGTCAAAGCCAACAACTGGACCCTCACCTTCATTCTTCTGGTTTCACTTCTGCTCTCCTTCCTTTGTGTTTTTCTCTTCATTGGCCAGCCTAACAAGCTGACCTGTCTCCTTCGACAAACTGCTTTTGCCATCATCTTCTCAGTTGCCATTTCTTGTGTGTTGGCAAAAACAATTACTGTCATCCTTGCCTTTATGGCCACCAAGCCAGGATCTAGAATGAGGAAATGGATGGGGAAAGAGCTAGCTCTTTCCATTGCCTTTTCCTGCTCTCTGGTTCAGACCATTCTTTGTACAGCATGGTTGTCCACTGCTCCCCCATTCCCAGATTTGGACACACATTCCTTGAGTAGAGAAATTATATTGGAATGTAATGAAGGTTCAGCCATGTTGTCCTACTCTGTCCTGGGTTACATGGGCTTCCTGGCCATTGTCAGTTTTATGGTGGCCTTCCTAGCCAGGAAGATACCTGACAGTTTCAATGAAGCTAAATGTATCACCTTCAGCATACTGGTCTTCTGCTGTGTTTGACTGACCTTTTCCCCAACCTATCTGAGCACAAGTGGAAAATACATGGTGGCGGTGGAGATCTTCTCCATCTGGCTTCCAGTGCTGGAGTGCTGGATTGCATCTTTCCCCCCACATGTTATATTATTATGTTGAGACGTGAACTGAACAGCAAGGAGCAGTTAAGGAAGAAACTAAAGTGAGGGAAATATCCTTTATCATTCTCTTTATTTCCTTTCATTAATTTTTGAATATGCCCAGCATATCACTGCACAGAACTATACATTTAGCATTCTTAAAGACAACTTGTGGGGATTTGTAAATTAAAATTTACACTCTCTTGTTTCTCTCTTTTTAAAGTTTGTCAATAAAGAATTACAGCTACAATAACAGTGCTAAATAAACAGAACTAACACCATGAAAAGAGCAAAGTGGGTTGATCTTATGATGGCCAGCTACCAGCCAGAAAATATGTGCAGACAGGATTTTTTTTAAGACTTTGAAGCACATTAAATATCCTGCCTCTGGAACCACAATGGGGAGCATGCAACCAAACATGTGCAGTGAATGAGAATTTGCAAATGTGATGCACTCAGCATCTTTTGGTCTTGAGGTATTGAGGAATGTGTCTGCTGAACCCCTTAAATATCAGTAGGTATAGAAGATGGTCTTAAGTTATTCTTCTACAGGCCGCAATGTAGTTTTGAGCATGGCTGTGCAGTTCAGATGCTGCCAGTTCAGTTCTTTTTGTTTAAGGTATTCAAGGCTTGGTGCTCTACTGAGCACCCCCTGCTGCAGTCTGCAGTAGCTACAACTTTTCAACCAGGTGCAGGAGTGGCCTCTCCCAGACCATATTGCAATAATCTATTCCTGAGGCTAGCAGTGGGTAAGCCCCAGTAGCTAAACTAGTTGTATCCAGGGATGTAAACCCATCAACAGAAGGGCATTCTCCAGTTACTGCTGCACTTTAAGTGGACGTGGGTTGGTGTTCTTTCTGTGAAAGATGACATTGGAGAGAAGTTTTTACATGATGTGCATTTTCCCATCAGAGTATCTGCTTTGACTTCATAGAAAGATTTCCAATAGTGAATTTGTATACTGACTTTGTTGATGTGATGGATGAAGCACTCAAAACATATTCAGTTGTAATGAAAAGCATAGCTAATGCAATCATCATATATGGGGAACTTCAGACCATGTCATTTTTGTGAATGTTGCTCCAGTTTTCACAAGTGGAGGATGAACCAAAGAAGTCCAATATCTGAATTATGACAGCTGAAATTGATTTCACTTCTGTTCCCTTCCAAAGGCCATGGGACATTGGTTTCCTCCTTGGTGCAAGGTGGTGAGATTGCACAAATTTCTTCAGTCCAGAAATCCTTCTTCAGGAAATCAAGTTGGCTTTATCAAGGATTTCTGTAAGCAATCATTTAGTTGCTCACTCCCCAGCTCTGCAATTCGTAAGGTGTCTGAGAAACCCTGTGCTGGGCAAGAGAAGCTTGAGTCTCTTCCTGCATCCATTTTTGAAATGAACATGACCAGCCACAGCTACAGCATCTACAATGTTGTCTATGCAATCACACATGCTTTGCAGTCCATGCAGGCATCCAAATCCAAGCAATTGAAACTGAAAGAGTGAGGGAGGCAAGAGTTCAGAATGTGGAATCAAGGTAGGTAATGCCACTCAAATGTCACCATGTGCGTGAATGCAACACCAGTTCCTAGGCCCCATAGCCATAGCTGCCATCACAGCAGCTGATGACCAGGCTTGGAGCCCATCATCAACATCTGGATGGCAACCAAATCCATCCCCTGATTTTCAGGTCTGAGCATCCAGACCAGCCCTGCAAATTGGCTCTAGGAGTGCAGAAGCCTGCTCAAGCGATGAAAGGACAGCAGGAATTTACTTGATATCAGCCAAATCAGACAACAATCAAGCTGCACATTCTGAAAATGGGCTGTGGTGTCCATGACAGCATTATATTTTCTAGCTCAGCTGCAGAAATATCTTGGGCCACACCTGGTTCATACCCATTCCAAGGTGTGGCACCCATGAAATCCAGGCTTCCCAGATTTCTGCTGCAGGAGACCTCCCTTACCTTAAGAATTAAAGGCAGTGGAAGATTAAGAAGATCAGGCCATTGATGATGAAGAAAGACCCACCAACAGCCAACATTCGTGCCCATCGAAAACCTAAATTGGAAGAAAAAGAGCATTGCTGATGAATTACTATCCCAAATAGTTGCTACATCTGTTTTCCTTTTACTGAGGTGTACTTATTCAGAATCAGATAAGAGAGGCGGATTCTGCTTTGATTCACACATGGCCTTTTAATCATTTACCTGCAGGCTTTTTCAGTAAGTTTTGCTAATCTTATCGCACCCGTGTGGGATGGGTTAACTTGAGAGATTGTCTTTGCTCCAGCATCTTAACTTTCAAGGCCGGGGATTACAAGGGAGGGAGGGAGGGAAGGAATTAGAATTGGCTCACTGCTGTTGGAAAAATAAAATTTCCAGAGAGTTTGTGAGAAGCATGTCAGAGCTTACCTGTTCCATCAATAAAGACAGCATTGCTCTGCTTAGAAGTTATGTCTCGTCCAGAAAGCTGCACCACATAGGCACACCTGAAATGTCCCACATGCTTTGCTTCCAGGATGCTCATATTCAACATGTATTTGCTTCTGTTAGAAACCGGAAGTGAGGTGGTCATGAGTTCATTAAAGTACTTGAATTCCTGAACTCTCTTTTCAGGTGGAGCAGAACACACCAGACTGACTGACTCTCCCAGTCTGTAGTCAGACTGCTGGGGGCTCAAAGAGAGGGAGGGAGCTACTGGAGCATCTGGAAAGAGAAAATTCTCTATGTTAGATTTTCTTAATGCCATGCAGCCTCAGCAAGCATGGCACATCCATGTCATGAACCGCGTGTGTGTGTGCATGTCAGAAGAGGCGTGAGAAGGTTGCACAGGAGGAGAGAATTACATATCCATTTTAAGGTGAATTGTTCACAGGGTGAAGGAAGGGGAGATGCCTTTCAGTGCAGTTGATCCAGGGTAAATCTAGATCCAGGCGCAGGGTAATTTCAGGACCCTCTTCACCTTTTTCTGTA